ACTGCAACCTCTGCTGCCTTCACATGGAAGAGTCACATCCCCTCCACTACGAGAGGACCTGCCACCACCCTCAGAGTGTCCCCCAGGGCCTGGGCGTCCATCCCACAGCCTGTCCGCCCTATACCTTATTCATTCCCAGGGTTCAGGTAATTCTGCCTCAGCCTCCCGAGTAGCTGGGACTACAGGCGCGCGCCACCATGCCATGCTAAATTTTTTGTTTCTAGTAGAGACGGGGTTTCACCATGTTGGCCAAGATGATGTCAATCTTTTGACCTCATGATCCACCCGCCTTGGCCTGCCAAAGTGTTGGGAATACAGGCATGAGCCACCACACCCGGCCAATAACTTGTTTTGTGTCAATAGACGATACTCAGCTAGTGCACACCTGACAGGCAGCATGAGCAGCTTCCAGAGGTCTCTGCCCCCAGGCGGGGGCAGTTTGCGGAGGCTCCCCTTCAGAAATCGGGCAGCATTAACTGTTGAATAACATGAAGCAGAGAGGCCCATTCCACCCAAGCCTCCAGGGCATTCCCAGTGCTGCCCGCTGAGTCCAGCACCTGGAGGGTGTCATCAAAGCTGGGCATGTCCCAAGTGGGGGGCCTGCAGGGGGCGGGAGGCTGGAGGGCAGGGCCCACAGCTACTGGTACAGAGTCCCGCCACTACTCAGTGGGTACAGAGCCCTCCTCGGCCTTCCTGCCACTCAGGGTCCTGCTGGGAGCCGAAGCAGGGTCCAGCCTGGTGAGGGGTGTGGAGACCTCAGGCACCGAGCAGGAAGGGTGGGTGCTGTCTCTGAAACCAGCCTCATAGCTGAGGCTGGCACCTCCCCCCCGGGAGGTAAGGAGGGGAGAAGGCAGCCAGGACAGGGCTGGGGTGCAGCGGGTCCCAGCAATCTGCTCCTGGCTCCCCCAGCCTATGCCTGTACCTCAGATTCCTCATCCGGAAGATGGAGAGCAACTGCTACCCTGAAGCCTCAGGCAGGCAGTTTAACGAGAGTGCACGGTGCAGTACAGCACCTGGGGCCACAGCCTTGGAATGACAGGTGTTTATACCTCGGCTAACAGGATCAGTGTGATGGCCAGCTCCAGGGACCAGGGGCTATACGAGGTTCAAAGACCCCCAGCCCAGGGACTGAGCTGCCTCAAAAGAGGCACTCTTGACTTAAAGCAGAAATAGGCTGGAGAGAGGAGGAGGACTGGGCTGTGGACCTCTGGGCTGGGATGGGCGTTGGTCCCACAGACAGGGTCATGGGAACCGCAATCTTCTACACCCATGTGAGCCTCTCCTGCCCGGCCTAGTGTCTCACTCTTCACCCAGGCATGAGTGACCAAGAGGCCCAGGGGCTCCCCATGGCCACACAGGAGCTGAAAGCAGTGACCTATCAGCCCCAAGGCCAGGGTCCTGCAAGGAAGCAGTGGTTTCAGCCCCGCAGCCCCAACTGGGAGCAGGAGCACAGGGCACTGTCCCCGCATGGCAGCCCCGCCCCACACAGGAAACTAGACAGCCAGATTCCCATCTACCCCGGGCCCAAGCATCAGCACAGCCTGAGCAGAACTCCAATATGCCCCGGGTGCTCACAATGGCTACAGGGAGGCTCACAGGTCAGACTTAGATCCACAGCAGCCTCACTGGGGCACTCCCAGGACGACCACCGGCCATGGGGAAAAGAGGAGACAGGCCCTCACAGAAAGCAACAGCCAGACCCAAGGCACATGCAGGGTCTCCAGAGCAGCCCCCCAGCCTCTACGGGGGCGTCCCTGGCTTGGGCTGGCATCCCTGCCCGAGGGGCTCCCTGTGCACAGAGGGCACAGCCACCCTTGCTGTGTTTCATGTGCAGCTGGGCCCCAACCATCCCTGAAACACAGCGCTCCTGCTGGGCCCCTGCCTTCACCTTTGCAAACGTGCTTGGTTACCAGAGTTAGGACCGCATTCTCTTGAACATAAGCCACCTATGTGGAGAGGGCCAAGAGCTGGGGAGCTCCCAGCAGATACTCCCCCAAGGCAGGCACCCAGCCCAGGAGCCCCCTGCACCCCCAGCCCCCCACCTGAATGCTGCTTAGAGGAAAGGCAGGGCAGAGGCTCCACAGGAGACCTGGTCCTGCTGATGCAGAAGGGCAAGGACTCCTCTCCCAGGCTCCTGGGAGGAGAGGACTGACATGGAGGTACCCTCTCTGATGAGGTGAGGAGTGGGGTCACGCTGTCATGCAGGATGTGGTGGTGGCTGCCCCACAGACATCAGAGGGCGGTGGCACCTGCACAGGATCAGGGAGCAGCCCAGAAGAACTTGCTGGGATCTGCACCAGCAGTGGAGACCATGGCTGTCTCCATGAACACAGACACGGGCTAGTGAGGAGGGGTCCTGGGAGAAGCCTGTGGGTGCTGGCCTGCTTCCAGAGGGCACCCAGGGGGACGGGCAGAGGTGGCTGTAAGGGCTCAGGGGAGGACCAGCCACATGAACTACCACGGTGAGGACGGCAACAGACTTGGAGCAAGGACTGGTGGCATCCGACCCTGCTCCAGACCCGATGGACCCAACTCTCCATGTGCCCGATTTCCTGAAACTCCAGGAGACGGACAGGAAGGGGAATAACCTGCCCACACACCCCACCATGGGAAAGGAGGGGAAGAGTCCCCAATGTACATCCCACTAGCAGGGTGAGGGCCGAGGCTCCAAGCTGCCTGGCAAGGCGGCAAGCAAGGTGCCCAAACAGTGCCAACATCTGGTCAATGAGTCCTGAGGTCCCTGACAGCCTTGATCGCCTCAACACATGAAACACCAGAACTCACGACACTGGATGTGCTCACGGCCAGGCCCGTGACAAGACATTCAGAGTGCAGAGGACAAACACAGGCTGGAGAAATCACTCAACGTGAAAAACACCGGGGACAGCAGAAGGGGTCTGACAGCCTCCCCGCAAATCTTTCGTCGTTAATGCTTCACTCGGAGCCAAGGGTGTTGTAATGAGATGGCTATTAATGCACTTAGGTTTACGAGAGCTCCCATGTACAGCCAGAGCTAACCTCTCCCATGAGGACTGAAAGTCTAGGCCCTCAGCAGAAGGCCCTGCACACCGGGGGCCACCGGACACAGAAAGGACAGACAGCAGGGGCCGGGCATCAGAAGACCACAGCAGGGGGTAGTACCAGTATCTTGAGGGTGGCTTCACACATGGATACTTGGGCCATGAGGGGCTGGAGCAGGCCTGAATGCCACCAGCCCTGATCAGAGTTTAGGGTTCATTCTTGTCAAGTGCTGTGGTAAGGGCTCACAGGCGACGACAGAGCATAGCCCTGGGGCCCTTTGGCGTGGCCTCCGAACGAGCAAGGGGTAGCCAGTGCATTCAGGCCCCTTGAGGCCTCCTGCGCTGGGACCTTTCATTCTTGCCACACGCCATCCCCAGTGCATGAGCCTCTGTGCCCGTGACCCCTCTAAACCACTGAACCATGTGCCAAGCAACTTTCTAGGGGCAGTTTGGTGACCTCCTTCTCTCGTCTTCCTTGAACAGCCATGCAGCACAGCTCTCTGAGATCCTCCATTACAATCCTTTCTCCATAAATTCAGCACCTCCTAACCTCCCATGTTATTTATGTTTGCTCATTAAAGTCTCCCCTACTCAGAAGCTCAGCTCCAGGGGCCAGAGGCTCTGTCAGATATCCTCTGGCACAGGGCCTGGCCTGCTGTGTGTGCTCAGCAGCCTGGCTGGAAGGTGGCTGTCGTCACTCCTGTGAGCCTGGCTCACTCACTGCTGGTGGACCCAGGTCATCTTACAGCTGGTCACTGGCTGAATGAGAAATGGACACAGCAGCCTAGGACAGGGCGACAGGCCACACCAAGGCCCTCATCTGCATACCCATCTCACCACAGTCTCTACCACCAAGGCCCAAGCTGGACAGAGTGAGCCCTGAGACCAAAGAGTTCATAGAGCTCGGCTGTGGCAGCAGAAATCGCAGGCCCAGACCCTCCAAGAGGTGGCCTGGTGGCGTCACACGCCAGCTCACTGACCTGAGTATGTCCCTTGACCCCCTCCTGGGCCTCAGTTTCCTCATGAGCAAAATTCAGGTCATAACAGCACCCATACCACATAAGTCATGGTGACAGTGAGACTGAACAATCAGATACAGGGCCAGGCAGAGCTGAACAGCAAGTCACCCTGTGGCAGCATGTGCCAACAAGGCCAGAAGACCCTGGCACATATCCCACCACATCCAGGCAGGGCTGCGCTGTGCTCATGTTCTCCATGCAAATCCCGAGAGAACATGGGCCCTTCGACCCTGGGCTAGGAAGAGTGTGCTGGGAGCCCCTGGCCCAGGGAGTGTGGACATGGCCTCCACCCAGGCCTGGCAATGCCCGGCTGCTTCCTCCCCCTGCACGGTGAGAGCTGCTCAGGGCTAGACAAAAGCACAGAGCATCATGGTGGCCCACGGGCCAGGGAAAAGGCAGAAGCCAAGGCTGACACCACCTATCCTGGGAGGACACTGGAGCCAGGAGAGGGATGCAGGCTGGAAGCTGTAGGAAGGAGGAACAACTATTCCAGTTCTGCAGCGAGCTGGGTACCCCTGGGCCTCAGACCCTGCCCATCAGGCCCCAACAGAGCCTTCTCAGTGGTGGGAACCAGAGCACTGGCACCAACTCTGAGTACCCAGAGACCAGGTCTTGGTACACACACATCCTTGGCAGATGGGGCAGGACCTTGAGTGGCCCTTTGACAGGCATCCTGAGGGGGTCTCTAACCATTAAAGGAGCACTGTCCCTCTGTCACCCACCTGCAGGCTGGGGCCACCTGGGATGCCCTGACAGCTGAGGATGCTGCAGATGCCAGTGTGATAATTAACTCGGATCCACGTGCAGAGGAAGCAGCCCGTGGATGCCCTCCTCGATGGATGCCTACCAGCGAGGAACTGGGGAGGCCATGGCCCAGACCTCCACCCTCCAGGCTCTGCCAAGGCCCACCAGGGAGAAGGCCCCACCTGATGACATGAGCCCCACGCCCGCGGCCCCTCACCTCCATCTCGGCACTGTGGCTGTGCACCTTCTGCACCATGTCCTCGGCCTCCCGCATGCGCCGGGTCAGCTGGGGCGAGTACTCGGCTGGGGTCAGCTCACTGTCATAGGAGCCCAGGATGGCCCGCATGCCGTCCCGCTCCTGTGGACACAGAGGGCAGCTGGTCAGAACCTGGGGCGGGGGAGGAAGTAATGCTGGAGATGGTTCAGGGAATGCCTGACGAGAGCAGGGTCATGTCAGGGGATCCTCATAAGGACCCAGGCCAGCACCCCTGAGAGCCTTTGCCTCGGCGCCCACTTTGACCATGTCAGGACTTTGCTGCAGCAGGCGTGGGCTCTACCTCGTACCAGCAGTGTGGCTACCGGGTGGGCTGGGAGCACAGGCCTCTACCTCTGTGAACACAGCACACACAGTGCGAGGCTGCACAGTGGGCAGAGCCCAGGTTCCCTACCCCAGCCTGTACCACTGGGTCTGCGTGACTCCTCTGAGTCTCAGTCACGCTGGTCCCAGGGAGATGACAGTAGGCAGGCCCGAAGCTTCGTGAGTCCCTCTTCCTGGGACTTCCGTCTGGCCTCTGAGCAGACTGCTTAGGATACAGACAGGAGCCGAGGACCTGAAGAAGGAGGAGACACAGTGTGCCCCAGGAAGCTGCTGCGTCCCAATGGGACCGGGAACCCGCCGGTCTGTCCACCCGCTCAGGGCTCTTGGGAAGATCCGGTCCTTGCTTTTCAGCTCTGGGCTTGGGAGCTCCTCATTTTCCCACAGAGCTCCCAGGATATCTGAGGCCAGGCCCCCATGCAGCAGCCAAGCTCAGCTCCCTGGGATGACACTGACCACAGTGTCAGGGCTGATTCCTGATTCCTAGAGCCGAGCAGAAACTCCTGTTCACTTGTGTCCTGCCTGACACGCTGAGGAGGCTGACGGTGAGAGCCACGCAGTCAGGGGCCCCGGGAGACACACGCTGCCTCCTGAGTCAGAGGCCCCGGGAGATGTGCCCTGCCTCTTGAGTTGGGGGCCCCAGCAGACACACACTGCCTCCTGAGTTGGGGGCCCCGGGAGACGTGTACTGCCTGGTGAGTCAGGGGCCCCAAGAGACGTGCACTGTCTCCTAAGTCAGGGCCCGGGAGACGCGCACTGCCTCCTGAGTTGGGGGCCCCAGAAGACACACACTGCCCATTGAGTCAGGGAGACGTGGCTGCCTCTTGAGTCAGGGGCCCCAGGAAACACACACTGCCTCCTGAGTTGGGGGCCCCAGGAGACGCGCACCACCTCCCAAGTCGGGGGCCCTGGGAGACTCCCACTGCCTGCTGAGTTGGGGCCCCAGGAGATGCGTGCTGCTTCCAGAGCCAGGGTAGAAGTGCATTCCTTCCCAGACACTGAGTCTGGATGCAGCAGATTCCAAGCACAGGCTAGGGACCTTCTACTGCCTGCCGGCCCCTGTGGGAGCCCACAGGGGACCACACGATGAGGAAGCCAGTCCTTCAGAAGGCCAGGTGTGCTGGAGAGCAGCTTCCAGATCTTCACGGGTGTCTGTGTGCCCTGTGGTCATGTAGCGCTTAGATGCAGGGCAGGCCTGGGAATATGCACTTCTAACATCTTACTGATTCTCCGTAGCCTCTGCCAGGAAAATCTGCCCCATTCTTGAGGGCTGGGGGATAAGGATGCTGGGGTAGGAGAGCCCAGGAAGAAGCAGATGGATATCTACGAGATGCAGGTTCAAGCCCCAGCTCTGTCCTGAGGCCAGCTATTCAACCACCCTCTCCAAGTCTCGGTTCCTTCGTTGATAAGATGGGAAACAGGGCGGCTGCGAAGACTGAGGCTATCAAGAATGAAGCATCCAGCCAGCTGCCCTGGAGACAACCAGTACTCAAGAAGCGAGAGCCATAACCTCACAAACCCAGGAAATGGTCCCCACTGGCCCACATGCTGGGGAAGGGGCCAATGCTCTGGCCCAGCCCCACACCACCTCGCTGTGCTTCAGACCATGTGAGGGTAGGCGAGCTGTGGGACCGCCCCCGCAAATACTGGCTGAAAGGGCAAATTCATGGCCCTGATAGAGACCAGTTCACTAAGGCAGCCTGGGAAGCAAGACCCCCACCCAGAAGTGGGATCCACGAAATTGCCAGGGTCCCTTCGGTGTGGTCTCCTCTGAGTCTGCACATACACAAGCTGAGCCCCCCTCGCCCCCCCAGGCCCCGCCTTGCTCCCAGGAGAGACCCAGCACAGATACCTGCTGAATCCCTGCCAGGCCCTCTGTCCATCTCCCCACACGTGAGAAGTATGAGGCTGCGGGGGCTGAGGAAACCCCGGCCTGCTCTCTCAGGAGCCCCTGGAGTTCAGACCACCACGTCTGGGGCTTTCCTGCTGTCTCCCGAGCCAGGGACACAGGTGACACCCTGGCATGAACTTCATAATTAGTTGATGACAAAAAATTCAAAATTCAATAAGTGAGAAATTAAAGTTACAAATCCAATTGGAACGGGTCACATATCTGTGGAAAATTTGTTTGCACAGGAAGGTTTATTGCGTGTCATACTTTTATTGAAATCCTATATCTTCCCATTGACTTTTATCGTTTCAAGCCAGTTACTACAGTTGTCATTACCAACGGGTGCGGACACCACACAAGGCCGGGGCGGGGGACTTCCCTTCATAAACAAGCTGTAATTGTCTCCTTTATTGACCAATAAATCTTTGAGCGCTCCCTTCCTGATGGCTCTCTCCAGCATAACTCCAAGCTAGCACCAGCTGGCAGAGAAGACAGATATTAGAAACTTTGTTGTTTGGACCCTTTCAAGAAACTGTTTTGTCACTGGTAGTGAAAGGGCAGCCACAGTTAGGGTGTGACTTGCTATGACTTTATAACAGCTGACTACACTTGCGGGAAAGTCCGCTTGATTTCCACCCCAATAAATGCGGCAATGAATTGCTGAACAGGCAGACAGTGGAAGGTGCTGACAGGGGCCTCCCAGACTTGCTCAAGAAGCACCCAGCAGTGACACCGTCCACCAGCTGCTCCTTGGGTACGGACAAGTCCTGATTCTAAGGAATAGAAGGTGCTTGTCATGCAATTAACAGCCGCTTGCAGAGAAGGTGAGCAGTCAGCACCACACAGAGGAAGTTAGCTGAGGACTCGGGGCCTCAGCACCCTGGATACACTGGCCAGTGGGGATGGGGAGAGCCGCAGAGGAGGGAGGCTCCGCCCTGGCCTGTGATATCCAGGCAGAGGGGCTGCCCATCCAGGGAGGTGGCAGGAAGATCTGACGCCAGTCCCAGCCCATCAGCCACTGAACACAAGTCAGTGCACAAGTTCCTGCTCGACCCTCGCACAACCCCAGGCTCCACATTCCCATCTGTAAAATGTCACTGGTAGTGAAAGGGCAGCCACAGTTAGGGTGTGACTTGCTATGGCTTTATAACAGCTGACTACACTTGCGGGAAAGTCCGCTTGATTTCCACCCCAATAAATGTCAGGGGTCAGCCCTGGCAGCCCATGTGCCCTGTCAGTGGGAACAAGTGGGGGACCATGCCAGGGCCACCATCTGGGAGTCACATGCATACAGCAAGACATGCTGGCTGAGCGCCACTCCAAACCCCAGCCAGGGTCATGTTCACCACCCTGCACCAGAGGCCTCCAGGAGAGGGGTGTCGGTGCATGAGAGAAGGTGTGTAGACAGCAGAGCCAGCACAGGGAGCACCAGCCTTCTCAGGCGTAGATGTGCCCCTGGCTGGTCTCTTGGCTGAACTGAGCCTTGCTGGGTGGCTGAGTGGACCTGACCATGTCCTGTAGACCAGCATTTAGCAGCCCAGTCGCTCTGAATCTCCAGGGAAAATGGGGAGAGGGAGACGCAGTCCGCAGTCTGTGGGGTTTCGAAGCAGTAACTGGCAGGGGGATGAGGATAGGGCCCACTCACAGGGCCCTTGGGGCGGTAAGTAAGGACTCCAGGACAGAGGGCAGATAGGCCCTCTCATGGTCAAGAAGGTCTGGGGAGCTCCACAGCCCAAGGGCTCTGGTGAGCAGGTGATGCAGCAGACAGGGAGGGCTGCACCGTGGAGCTATAGCGGGTAAGAAAGTCCTAGAAAGGCACCAGAACCAAGGCAGAACATGGAGATGGCTGGGGCTTCCTGCATGGGCTGCCAGCAACCTCCAGCCACGCTGGAAACTTGCCTGGTTCTCGTGTCTTTCCGGGACACAGAGGGAGATGGGGAGAGGGACGCATGGGTGTCAGGTAGAGGACACAGGGACAGCCTGCAGCTCCGAGCGCTGTGGAGGCACTGGGTGGATGCCGGTGTCAGAGCGTGGCAGACCTCAAAGAGGCCCGTCAGCAAGGCACAGAAGCCATGGGCCCGGGGATGCTGCAGGAAGAATCTGAGTGCCTTAGGAGGCAGTGGTGGGGAAGGGCACTCCAATCAGAGGGAACAGCATGAGTAGGCACCCAGAGGACCCTTTCGAAAGAGCAACAGAGATAATGACGCTCATCCCCTCATCAGCGGGTGCTCCAGCACGCTAATTACCACGGATCTTTTGTGTATAAGCCCTAAGCACGCCAATGATTCCCACGGGATGAGAGACAGCTGTCCCACAGTGGCTGAGACTGCCATGGCAGGGGGCAGCGCACCTGGGCAACAAGGGCTGAGACAGCAGACAGAACAGGACCCAGTGCCCTTGGAGAAAGACACCCAGGGCATAGTCCTTGAACCTGGGCTTGGGAAAGGCAGAGCAATGAGGCCAGGAAGCTGAGACAGGGACCAGGGCTGCTAGCCCCAGGGGATGGCGGGGGTGTGGGGACGCACAGGGCCCGCACGAGAACACCCGCAGGAGCTGGAGACTGCAGTAGGCCCGTCCTGCTGGAGGAGCTGCAGACAGAGGAGTTGTGGATGGAGGCACTGCAGGGGGCAGAGACCAGCCCCACGGCCCCCAAGCAGCAGTCACTTGAGGTGTGCATGCCCAGGCCAGCTCCCAACTCACACAGACCCAACACAGCCCACATCCTGGCTGGACACTAGCTGTGTGACCTTGGGAAAAATAAGCCTCTCTGAGTCTCAGGACACTCAACCATAAAGGAGAGGGCAAGGAATGCCTCAGGCTGATTGTGAAGTTCAAATGCAGCATCGCACAGAAAGCCAGGCACACAGAGCCT